CACAAAGGGCACACATTTTGAGGAATGGAATGTGAACAAGTGAGAAGTTGTGATAGGGCGGGAGTTGTATGAGAGGGTAAAGAGTAGATGGATAGGCCAGGACAGAAAGAGGAGTGAGAGTGTAACCGTTTTCGGCAGAACGTTTGTCAAAGGATTGACTCCACTTGTCTCTTTGACGAGTTCGTATCTTGGTGCGGAGAATGGCAAGGCTCACTGATGATGCCGACTACGATGACTTCATTTGTCTCTTTGACGAGTTCGTATCTTGGTGCGGAGAATGGCAAGGCTCACTGATGATGCCGACTACGAGGTTTGTCGAGGGATTGGCTTCACTTTTCTCTTTGACGAGTTCGTAGCTTGGTGCGGCGAATGGCAAAACTCACTGATGATGCCGACTACGATGCCGGCGAACCGTTTGAGAATGTATCAAGTCCACTGTCAGATGCTGGGAATCATGACAACTACTATGGCAGACGACTTCGGAACTAGATGCGTTCCACATGGTCTGCCTGAGAACAAGACCAGGTTTCGACAACAAGGTCAACCCACTTCTATCGCCCTAGTTTGTTTAAGGTGATGAAGAACTGATAATGGAATGCATGTCATATTACTGATTTACTGATAGTTTGAAACTCAACTTAAATATAGAAAGATCTCTACACTTGGGAAAAATGCCCACAATTAGAAGGATTTGTACCTCTTCGCTTTTGAATAGATTCGTCTCGAGCGCATCAAAAAACTTCTTGCGTTCCGCTTCTCTTGTCTCGTACATTCAGGTTATATTGGCGCTGAACTTGACGCTCCTTGCTCTAGAACAGGAGCACAAACACACCACAGGCCCCACAGTTGCTCATTTCGAGGAGGCCAAGGCCAGCGGCCAACTGCCTCACCATTTTGACCTGCCTCCGGCCGCGCGACCCTCCTCTTCTGCCCACCTCAATCTGCCCTTCTCTGTGCCGGCGTCCGGAGCGCCGTGGCTCCGAGTCCCGGAGTCAAGAGAAAACCGGCCTGATCGGACAGACCGGGCCGTTGGCAACCGTCGCATCCCACCGATCGCCGACAAGGCGGTCGCCAGGGCCTCATCGTTTGAGCAGAGCCGATTGAGCTACCGACGTACAAACGGCTCGACGCGGGATCTGATCCGTCTCTACAACTGCGGTGATCTGACCGCAGTGATCCTGCCTCAACCGATCGGCCAAGCCAAGACGCCGGCCCTACCGACGGTGCATGCGGGCCAACAACGAAAGCCGAAGCCGGGCAAGTCGTTCGCCCACGTTTACAATTCACTTGACCAGGATTCGTCCGAAACCCTTCGCCCTCTTTCGCCGCTTTCGCCGCCTCCTCTTTCTCTTCCGCCGTACTCCTCTCTCACAGACGCCATTCAGAGCGAGCCAACAGCACAAGTGACCGTCGTCTCGACCGAGCAGGCCCGGTTGCTGGCCGACCTGGAGGAGTACCTGCAGGAGGAGTTGATCGTGAAGAGGAATGCCAGAATGGCTGAAAAGATAGCCTTCGAGTTGAAGAAGGCGGAGCAACAGAGGAAAAGCGTTTTCTTCGCTCTGGGGGCAGGTAAGCAGAGACCAGTAAACGAAACTTTCGCGATATGAGTTGCATTCATCACATTTCATTTGAGGCGATGAAGAATTGGTACTTGAATTTTCCCACATTGACATGAGTAGAGCTGCTGCTTTCCAATGAATTTCGCACAGTCTTGCTTCCCAGAAGGTGGTCTCATCCAGGTTGAAGTGGACTTCAGCTTCGACATCCCCTGGGTCCTATCAACTCCCCAAACGGGAGTCGAACCATGGCAATGCAGCGTGTAAGCTCGACACGTTACCCACTGCGCCACATTGCCGCGAGTGCTCTTGGGTTACAGGGCAAATATAAATTTCAAGGAATGTCAAACATTTTCTACATCACATTCTGTGTTTGGATTGTCGATAGGGCAAACTTATATTTTGCTCTATCAATCGTGAGTGAGTAGGTTTTCGAGGCTACCAGTAGAACAGATAAATGAGGACTGGTGGCTGATTTTTCATACAATGAAATGAGCCCAGTCCTTCATCACCTTAAACTAAATATGCTGAATAACACTTATATATGTGATTTACTGATGATCTTGACAACCTACTCACTTACGAAAAGAGTAATATCGTCGATTTCTATAGCACATATAAGTTTGCTCCATCGACAATCCCAACACAGAATGTGATATGGAAAATGCCCGGCATTCCTTGAAATTCACATCTTCCCCGTGACCCATAGGCACTCGTGGCAATGTGACGTAGTGATTAACGAGCCGAGCTTACCCGTTTGGGGTGTTGATAAGACCTATGCGAGGTCGAAACTTTAGTCCACCCTGAATAAGGACATCTTTTTGGAAGGCAAGACCATGTGAAATTCATATAAGTGTCCTAATCACCTTAAACAAAATAGGGTGTTTACAACTCATATATTTATGCTTTACTAGTAGTCTCGAAAATCTACTTACTTACGAAAAAACTTTGGCTTACAACCTTGTAAAAGTTGAGTTTCCCGATATTGAGCATTGTAACATCCTAGTGATTGCACAGACTATATGATGTCTGGAATATATCCACAAAGAGTTCCTGCCCTAAATTGACCTGTAGAACAGAATGGCTTAAAGAATTCTGGTGTTTATTTAGGCACGAAGGTCAGATCCTGAAAGATCTATGCCCATGAAGGCGAAAATTCTAATTTTAAAATAAAGATAATTTGTCAGAGATATATTTGTTTGTTTTATAGTTTATACACTATTCAAGATTTTATATCTTTTATTTACAAAGACAAATTTCACTTTTGGTAAAAAAATTGGTTAACATTTGGTTAACATTCACTGGGTCAATCTGGAGCTGATTTTAGTCTCCGACAGATCGTCCTCAGGTGAACCTCCGAATCGTTTCCATCCTCCAAATGAATAGAAAAGCATTGTTTAAATCCAATTTTTATGACCCAATTTTCAGCATAAAAGGGCCAGAGATGGATGCTGTGACGTAATGGATGGTAGATTGAGCTAACTTATTGGGAAGCTTGAGAGGCATGCTTCCATCCTGGACTAAAACCAAGAAGAATTTATTCCAGAGCCTATCAAAATATTCGTCAAGTCCAACTTTATTTTAAGGTGAGCGAATTTCGATTGCTAGTTTTATCGAAGCGGTGACGAATCTGATAACATTTACTCCCGTTGACGTGGGATCCATCTTTGAGATGGGAACATATTTTGGTAGCCACGACGAAGTTAAATGTAATGCCCAAACCAAACCTTTTTACAAATTCATCCTGAGTAGACTCGCTTACATTTTAATACAAGAGTCAATATAAGCTAGTATGCCTAGGCAACAATTAAGATTGTGATGGCTTCTAAAAGAACTTATAGTAACTAGACACACCTTGTTTTTCGAAGCGCCTAAGTATGCATAATTATTTATTAATCCGAGTTCAGCTAGACATGTTTAGCACTCCATGTCATT